ATATTATAAAATAAGCTTTTTTTTTATTTATTTTTTTACTCTCCGTGATGTCATCACTAGACTTGTAAAATTCTTGGTAAAGCAGCTGGGAGGAGGGATCGACGAGGTGCCATCATCGTTCTGAACGATGATGGCATATCCCCCAGAACTACATCTTCCAATAGCCCTTTTCCTACACAGTGTGTGGAGCAGACTTTTGGAAGTCAAAGCAACATCACTGGTTTCCTGGAAGAGAAATCAACGTGCGTGTGTGTAGAGGGGCAGGGGTAGGTGAAGTTCTGTGGTCCTGCAGGAAGAGCTGACAATACTGGTTTGGATTTCAGTGCAGAAAAGATGCTGTGTTGTCAGCCCATAAAGGAGATTCGCTCACTGGGTCTCTGGCAGATATTCTTCTATACTTTCAGCCTTTGCAGAGGTATAAAACATGTGGGATATTGCAGAGATGTGGAATAGGGGAATTCTGACTGGTCCCTAGGAGCTGCTGCACTTTGCTCATTGCCATATTCAATAAACCTGATTTTAATGATTAACTTTGTTTCTTGTTGCAGCAATCGGCCAACATAGTACGTGCATTAGAGCTTTTCATCAAGTCTGATGTGCTGAGCGGAGAGAACGCCTACATGTGTGGCAAGTAAGAGCAGTTATGTTACTCTTCATAAATGCAATAGAGAATTCTTTGCAAAGAACAAGGTTATGTGCTGACAATGAGTGCAGGGTGCTGAGCAGTATGGCACCGATGTCCCAGCTTCAAGAAGTGATCCGTGCTGCTGGGCATAAGCCGACTCACTCCTGATCACTGACATCCATCTAAGTTTAGATAAGCTCTTCTAACCCCTTGCCTTTGGGAATCCATAGACTTGTTTTCATTAATTAGGTATACTCCGGCCAGAACAATGAAGGGGCCTTTATAGCAGATACCACTCTGCTGGAAATCACAGCACACAATGCCTACAATTTATGAATGGTTCATAAAATGTGGGCTGTAGTATGAATCCTGTGTTGTCTTGTGGAGTGTTATCTGCGTAACACTGCAGAGAGCACCTCATGATTGAAGAGGAGACCAGTTGCATGATTTTCACAGGTCATGTCAAAGGCTCTCTCTATTCTCCCACATTTGAACGAGGCTTTGCTTCAGAGATCTGTGCACAGTGCTTTATAAGTGTTACTTTTTTTTGTTTTGTTACAGCACCGGTATGGCCATACCTCTGCTTTCTAACTGGGCCGTGGTAAGGCCATACCTCTGCTTTCTAACTGGGCCGTGGTAAGGCCCTACCTCTGCTTTCTAACTGGGCCGTGGTAAGGCCCTACCTCTGCTTTCTAACTGGGCCGTGGTAAGGCCATACCTCTGCTTTCTAACTGGGCCGTGGTAAGGCCATACCTCTGCTTTCTAACTGGGCCGTGGTAAGGCCCTACCTCTGCTTTCTAGCTGGGCCCTGCTAAGGCCATACCTCTGCTTTCTAGCTGGGCCCTGCTAAGGCCATACCTCTGCTTTCTAGCTGGGCCCTGCTAAGGCCATACCTCTGCTTTCTAGCTGGGCCCTGCTAAGGCCATACCTCTGCTTTCTAGCTGGGCCCTGCTAAGGCCATACCTCTGCTTTCTAGCTGGGCCGTGGTAAGGCCATACCTCTGCTTTCTAACTGGGACCCGGTAAGGCCATACCTCTGCTTTATAACTGGGACCCTAAAACTTGAAATGCAGGGAGCACAGACTGACTGGTCACCAGTCTACCCCTTACTTTATCTGTGGATCCTAGAACTTGCCTGCTGAAGATGCCAGAACACCCTCTTTATAAAAACAATACTGGTATTATCACAGCCACCAGACAGAATCAAACCTTCCCTGGAAGGTTTGGATGTGATTGTTGGTGCAGCAAGCAGACAGAGGAGATGTTACACTGCTTAGGCTTCAGCCAAAGGTTTTTTTGGCTGTAATGGGGATAGATTAGAACCACTGCTGGGTATTTACTGCTGTCCAGGGCTCTGTTACAGAGATTTCCCCTTACTTTGTGTCCCGATGACAGTAGAGGGAAGATTTGCTGCAGGGACATGTGTAACACATGGACAACAACAAAAAAGCTGACTGGGGTTTTAGGCTCCCCCCCGCCCCCCCAATTTTCTGTCTGGTGAAAACATTGTAAGTGAGGAGAAATCTCGCTGACAGAACCCCAGAGAGCAGTACTAACCAGTAAACATTCCACATCTGGATAATGCTATAACCCACATTTAGGTTGTTGCCAGTGCGGTATTGAATGCTGGCTTTTATACACACATTTTTTAAGCTCAAAGGTAAACAAATCATGGCGGGCCATCTTTTAACAATCCAGTGCCCTCTGTAAAGAGAACAAAGTGTACATTTGAAGGGGTTACATATATTCAAGGCAGACATTCACTGGTGGTGAATCACCTGTACCTTGGAGATTCACCTGCAGCAAATGTCCGATTCACTGCTTTATAAATTTCGTGTCATACTTGTTGAGGTCTTGTAAATTTTACGGTTGGTTTCTTTCTTCTCTGTAAGGTGTAAGAAGAAGGTTCCGGCCACGAAAAGATTCAGCCTTCATCGCGCTTCCAACGTCCTCACACTATCGCTAAAAAGATTTGCCAACTTCAGCGGCGGCAAAATAACAAAGGTCAGCAAAATGGTGTGCGTGTGTGCGCGCGTACTGTATACACTGATCACCCATAACATTATGATCACTGAGGTGAAGGGAGTAACATTTTAGTATCTGGTTACAATGGCACCTGGAAATGGGGGGGGATATATTAGGCAGCAAATCAACATTTTGTCCGTGAAATTGATGTGTTGGAAGCAAAGAAAACAGGCAAGCGTAAGGAATTGCGCAACTATGACGAGGGCCAAATTATGATGGCTAGACAGGAGCAACTCCAAAACTGCAGCTCTTGTGGGATCTTCCCGGCCTGCAGTGGTCAGGATCTACCAGAAGTGGTTCAAGGAAGGAGAACCAGTGACAGGGTCATGGGCGGTGATGAGTGGCCCGTGTAGTCTGATCCACATTATGACATTTTACCTGAACACACAGTGCATCGCAGTTTTTTTTTCCGTATGGAGCTGTGTGGGCGCAGACCAGTCAGGGTGCCCATGCTGACCCGTATCCACCGCCTAAAATGCCTACAATGGGCATGTAAGCATCAGAGCTGGACCACGGAGCAATGGAAGAAAGTGGCCCGCTCTGACGAATCACTGTTTCTTTTACATCATGTGAATGGCAGGGTATGTGTGTATCGCTTACTTGGGGAATAGATGGCACCAGGATGCACTATGGGAAGAAGTAAACCCAGTGGCGGCAGTGTGATGTTTTGGGCAATGTTCTGCTGGGAAAGAATTGGTCCTGCCATTCATGTGGCTGTTACTTGGACACATACCACCCGCCTAAACATTGTTGCTGACCGAGTACAACCCTTCATGGAAACAGTATTACCTGATGGAAGTGGTCTCTTTCAGCAGGATAATGCGTCCTGCCACACTGCAAAAATGGTTTGAGGAACACAACAACAAGTCTGAGGAGTTTGACTTGGCCTCCAATTTCTCCAGATCTCAGCCCAATCGAGCATTTGTGGGATGTGCTGGAAAAACAAGTCCGATCCTTGGAGTACCCACCTCACAACTTACAGGACTTAAAGGATCTGCTACTGATGGCTTGGTGCCAGATACCACCGAGCACGTTCAGAGTCCTAGTTGAGTCCATGGGTCAGAGCAAAAGGAGGACCTACTCCAGTATTAGGTGCATGGTCATAATGTTATGGCTGATCGTTAAGTGGTGTGTATATATGTGTGTGTGTGTGTGTGTAATATATATATATATATATCACACCTTATGTGATATATATATCACACCTTTAGTGATATATATATCACACCTTTAGTGATTGGCAAAATTCCTGCTGTTTGTAATTGACATCTGTACTTCACTTCCTGTCTTCTGGTAGGATGTCGGTTACCCAGAATTTTTGAACATCCGACCATACATGTCTCAGTGTAATGGAGATCCGGTTATGTATGCGCTCTATGCGGTCCTTGTGCATTCTGGGTACAGCTGCCATGCTGGACACTACTATTGCTATGTAAAAGTGAGTAGTATTGCACATCTTTTATGAAGTCTTTGGGCTCACTTTCTGTCAGGACAGAAAATTCCCTTTAACTAGCCAATAAGTTAAAACACATTTTTGTTTATGGTGACAGCTACTCCCCTCACGTCTTGACTCGCTCATTGTAAAGCCTAAAATATAATATTTTGCCAGGAGCTAGACTTGAAGGTGAACCTGTATTCCGTCTTAACAATAACCATCATGCCTAGTAGCAGACACCACAGGATGACTGCTGTTATCTTTATTTGCCAGAAAAGCATCTCCTATGCTCCTCTCTGATTTGGTTTCCTTACTGGGACCCCTCATCATAGCTAGGCTCCACCAAACTGCACCTTTCACCCACTGGGGGCTTCCTTACTGTTGGCTGAGGCAAGGTCATTGCACAGTGCAATGGCAGGGCTTAGGCTTCCATAAGAAATTAAACTAATTCAGAGCGGGGCAGAGATACAGCTGATGAATTTGATATAAGCAGATTAAACTTCATCTTTAGTTGGGCCTCAGAGCCAGGTTGCCAGGACAAGAATGAATACCTCAATGGCAAAGCCAGGAGCCATTGACCAGCTCCCACACTTGCTGTGTACACAAGGGAAATTACCTGATCAAACCCTGATCCCAGCCAGCTCTCCTCTGTCTTTGGAAACCTCATTACAATCTTGATCGTGTTTTCCCTAGAAAATGAATACCGCTCTGGCCTCCACAATAATCCAGCAGTGGCTTCCTGGTCGTCAGGTTGCCTTCCTTAGTTGCTATGGTAACCTGGTGACCTAGATTTATTCAGCTCCAGTTGATGCCTACAGATAAAGCGTTAAGAGACGGTTCTGTTCTCAAACGTATCTGACTTTGATTTCTCTCTTTTGCAGGCCAGTAACGGACAGTGGTATCAGATGAATGATTCACTTGTTCATGCCAGTAACATCAAGGTGGTTCTGAATCAGCAGGCTTATGTACTCTTTTACTTGAGGTAACATTTATACCAAGACAATGGATTCACAGATGCTCTAAAATTCACACCAGGGGACTACTGTTTTGTGTTGTAATTGCTGAATGAGCCTAATTATTATTATACAGGATTTATATAGCGCCAACAGTTTGCTCAGCGCTTTACAATATAGGGGAGACATTACAATTCAAGGCAAGATGGTAAGGAGGGCCCTGCCCCTGAGGGCTTACAGTCTACAAGGGAGGGTGAAGTGATACATGAGGAGGTAGCAGTGTGGGGATGAATTGTTTGATAAAGTGATAGTTCAGTGGTCAGGTTGAGGTGGCATAGGCTTCCTTGAAGAGATGAGTCTTAAAGGATTGCCTAAATGCAGTCAGAGTGGGAGATAGTCGGACCGGTTGGGGTAGAGAGTTTCATAGGATGGGAATCCTATGGAACTCATAATGGAATGGATAATGCAATCCATTTAAAGAGAATGTCATTATGTTTAATTTAGGGCAAATTGATAGGTTCTGTTAATGGGGCACCCACCACCACCCACTGATGCTCACCTTTGCCGCCCCCCTCCGCTGCTCCATTTTCCTTCTAGCCTGCGTAGTCTAAAGCTGGCCATGCCTGTTCAACCTGCTTACAAGCATTGATCGTGGAATCTCCCGCTGTCTTCACTGTATAATGACGGTGGATGACGGCCACTGTGGGAATACCCAAACAAATCTGGCAGCTTATTGGCTGCGGGCTCTGTTCGAAGATTTTTCGACCAATTCCTTCCATCAGCTAAAATTCGCATAGTGTGTGGCCACCTTAAACCCTGTGTAAGCTCCAGGTTGAACATTGTGAAGATAGGTGAGGAGAACCGTTCATGAATAGAATGTCTTGGAAACTCCAGCTGGTTGCAGAACAATAATCACTTTATTAGTGATAGCCAATGCATTTTGGGCTCCCCCACCTTCATGGATTTGGTACTGTTCAATCTGTTGATCGTGGGCACTGCAGCATGCTGTCTGCTTTGCCCACAACCGTGGCACAGCAGACACTGCGGGACATCATTACACCTCGGGACCAACAGATTTACCTACCTAAGCCCTGAAAAAGGGTGACCCCATCCCCAAAACACCTTGGCTATTGCAAATAGTCTACCAAGATTGTGTTGCAATAGGAAAAGATTAAGATTTCTGTTCTTCTGCTGCAGCATTGGAAAATGTTTTTCCCCACAATGTCAATAGCTATATGAGGGGAATGGGCGCATTTTTCAAACAGGTATACTAGATGTAAATATTTTAGTGTACATAGCCTGGGAACAGGTTCACTTTAAAGGTTCACTGTTACTTTGTCCCGAATTGGCAAAGTGACCCAGTCACTTTATTCCCCTGTTCTACAGCAGCACATACCATTCCTTCTCTCCCCTGCAGTTCCTATCAGCTGTCATTTGTGAAGGAAATGACTTGTACTTTCCGGGTTTGGAGGAGCATGTGACTCACTCATGGTCTCCACAAAGCTATGGACTCTTTCTATGTGACAGTGCAGGTGCTTGGTGATGGGCCCAGTGCTGTTGCGTAGGCAGAGTCCATCATTTGAGCACTAAAGTATGTCACCAGCACACCGTGGTTAAATCTTCAAGTAGTGATCATTTTATTGACACACACACATCTTGTCACTTAGCAACATTTCAGGGCCACTCAGGGTCCCTTCATCAGGCATGACACAATGGTTATGCCTGATGAAGGAACCCTGAGTGGCACCGTAACCTTGCTATGTGAAAAATGTGTGTGCATCAATAAAATGATCACTACAGTACTTGAAGATTTAATGACAGTGTGCTGGTGACATACTTTACTACTTGAATCTAAAGCTGGGCCACCCGCAGTTACTTCAGCACCCCCCGCAAGGGACATACCAGTAAGTAGTGCGGTAGGACTCTCCTCCATCATTTCAGTGACTCTGAGCTTACCCAGAGTAAATTCTCTTGCTTTCAGCAGCTGAATGGATTGGCAGGGGAGTGAAGGAGAGGTGAGTAGGTGGTGTGGTAGCATGGAATGGCATTAAAGTTAAACTTTGCCCTGCATAGACATGCTATAGCTTCACTGTAAGTTGACCCATGAAATGGTATTCTTGGTCATCTCTGCTTGTTTTATATGGTCAGAGATCTCCTTTCTTCCCCAGGCTTCCAGAATCCAGAAAGAGTCCTGATGGATCGGCGTGTAAAGTGCCAAATGCTCAGATTTCTCGCCCCAGCTCTGTTCCTCCTACTATCAAGAAGACGCTCTCTAATGGTAGCCTGTCATCCCCTCTGATTGGGAAAGTGAGTGACTCCTAAACGGCTTTTGTTTAATTTCTAAGATGAAGTACCCATTTGCTCAAGCTGTCTTGACACATATAGTCTTTGGTTTGACTGTGCCAGTGTTACACCAGATCTAAAAAGTTAACTTGTTCACTACCAACCAGTAATTTACAGAGTGGAAGGACTTCCGTCTTGAAAGAAATGGGTTGAAAATGTTTTGGTAGATCTTGGTGGGGCAGGGTCAGTTGGTGGTTGCTGGAGTTGGGAGTTGGACTAAACGAAAGATGGCCTTACAGATGTGTCCATCTGTAAGGCCTTTGTTATGGCGTGTGAGAGGGCGAGGTGTGGGATTCCTATCACCCAACACTCGGGACATGCAGTACCGGGCAGGTGTTTTTTTTTTTTTTTCTAGATTTAGCTCTGCTGCGAGCAAGCATTGCTAAATGTAGAGCATGGGAGCCACCGCTCCTTTTGTAAAAGTGATCTGAGTGGCTGTACAGCTGCCCAGATCACTTGTAGCAGCCTGCTTGTCTTGTCTCAGTTGTCACAAGCCGGGCTGCACAGGAGATGGAGCATAATACTGTGCCTGATCTTCTGTATTGGAGGGGAGGCTCCATAAAGACAATCTCACCTACAAACGTTATCACATAGGGGCTTGCTAGCCCATGTGTGTGTGTGTGTGTGTGTGTCCCCCCCTTCCCTTCCCTTTTCCCCTCCTGCTTCAGCTGGTTAAATGTCCTCATGTCTAATGCATGTCTTTGGGATCTGCATTAGATATGATGTCGATGGTCCTTAGATTGCCGCAGCGCAGAGGAGAAGAGGCACATATAAAATGTGAGGGTGTGAACCGGCTAGGAGGAAAATAGGTTATTTAACCCCCCTGCTTGTGTTGACTCTGGGTTTTTTTTCTTTTTTTTGTCATGTTCCATCTTTTGCTCTCTATCTTCCAGAGACCAGATGGAGTACATGAGAAGAAGTCACCGAATATGGATGACATTGGGGTTCCAGTGTGCCGTACATATCCTTTGATCAGCAGCAAAGAGCACAACGGAGTTCCCCGTACAAGGCCGCTCAGTGCCAGCCCCTCTCCAAAGCTCAGCTCGAAAACCTCCTACTCCCCTTGTCTTTTGGATGATAATATGAGTCGGGTGAAGAAAGCTGCCCACGCCAAGTTCAAGGCATCTCCCGAAACGCTGAGCACGAACGAAGCGAAGATGCAAGAGGATCCCACCAGCCTGTGCTCGATATCGAACTCCAAAACGTCCAACGAAAACCTTGAAGCCCAGGAGGACGCTAACCGAAAACTGGAAGAGGTGAAAAGTGTAAAAGCACAAGAACCTCCTTTAAATGACCAAGCTGTATCGCTGGGCACCTCCGCAATCAGGAATGTTCCATCTCCATGCTGCAGCCCGCAGATGGAAGCAGATCGGACGGAGCCGAACGGCAATTTAAAATCAAAGTCCCCCATGTTGGCCAGTGTGCGTGAAGCTTTGACGGCCATGTCACCTCCACCTGCCAAAAAGCTGGCTTTGTCAGCCAAAAAGGTAAGTTCTTGTGAAGACTCCACCCCCTTCTTTCTGTACTCTGTTCTGTGGCTTCTGCTATATAGGTCTTCTTCTTTCCCTATAGATCCTACTGTATGTCCAGCCAATACTTTTCTTAAAGGAGAACTATAGGATCAGTTCTTTTCCCCATAGCTCTCCTAAGGGTAACAGGAGGACACAAACTAACGTCCTCCCGTCACCCAAAGCTCAGTATACGCCGCAGCCGGGATGGATCCCGACAATACTGTCTGGATCCACCCAGCTGCGTGAGTGACAGCTGGCTCTGCCTATCTAGAGGCAGAGCCAGTTGTACCCGCCCCCTCCCCGTCCGTTCCGCCAGTCAGCGCTGGAGGATCGGGAAGGGGAGGGGGGGGATCCCTGCAGGGAGCCGTGATTGACAGTCACGGCTCTGTGCAGTGACAGGATCGAGACGTGAGCGAGCGACGGTATGTGTTCGCTCACTTCCCGATCTATTGAGCCGACATGTGACTGTTTCATTGTCACAGGTCGGCTCGATCCATGAGGCTGAGTGATTTTCACTCGCCTCATAGTTCTCCTTTTAGGTTTTTTATATATTGTGGGGGAGGAATAGAGCCCCTGTCAGCTATCCAGTTAGATCTCATTAGATAGATTTACCCTCACTTCCTGCCCTGGTGACAACCGTTTCAGCAGACAGGATTTAAAGGAGGATCTGAAAAATGCTTCTTTCAATATAAAAGGTGAAAGATAGAATCCCTGTCAGCTTCTTATTAACTTCTGTGCCCTTGTTGCAGATTTCCCCTCACTTCCTGTCTGGCAAAACTCTTGTCACAGTGAAAACAATGGAAGGTAAATCTGCCTTAACAGTGCCCTGGAAAGAAGTAAACATATGACCGGGGTTCTAATCCTTTTCTGTGCGCTACGAGAAACTAAAAAAAATCATAAGTTTTTGTAGGAGATACATTTTAATTCTCTGTAAGCTCTTCATAATTAGAGGGAAAGCCGGGCATTTGAGTTATTGTGACGTTTGTATTAAAGTAACTTTGGTGTAATGTCTTTTTACATTCTTTCAATACTATACATGATAGAGGAATTTGTAGGTTGTCCCCCTACTGGACCGGTGTATGTTGTCAATGATGAAACATTTCTGAGAGTAAAGTGACCACACGGGAAAACCAAATGGAACAAAGGGTCCCAGTAAAAAAAAGTGTTTATAACCTTTTTGGTATGTTAAAGCTGAACTCCGGGCATAAAAGCTTTCATCTAACAATCATCCCACGTTCAAAGGATGTTAAATCGCGTTGTTTCCCCGTATCTTCCGAAACAAATCACTTCTACTGTCGTGGTAAACAACCTGCTTCCCTATTCATAATGGTCTGGCCCTCTAGCCACTTCATTGCAAAATTATAGTTAATTTCCCTACAAACGTCAGGTGGTCATAATAATCTGGCACACACACTGTATATACTTTTTCACCACAGCAGGAATGTAGTGTTTTCAGGACAGGCAGTGAAAGGAAATTTCCCCAATGTTGTACAGATGGCAAACAAAAACCTAACAGGGCATTTAACCATTCCCTACTATATTTTTGCATGCTTGCACTTCCATAATGTTGGTATCGTACCACATGTAGACAAGGAGAGTTTTGCTTTCATTGGGTCTGCAGGACAGGAAGCCAGAGCAGGCATATATAAGGCAAATAATGTTATCTCTATGTACTTCTATATTACAAAATATTCATGTGTTAATACAATTTTTTTTTTTTAAAGCTGGTCACATTTTACTATTCATGTAAAAAAAAAACACAGACTATATATTCCTTTTAAAAGGGCTGAATGGCTATGGTGGGATTTAGGGCCTGTTCACATGAGATCAGGTCCTGATCAGCAGACGTGGAGCTGCTGATGCATTGCGTTTTGGATGCGTTCCAGCAAAAAAAAAAAAAAAAAAATTATTTTTGCTGGAGTGGGGCTGTTAGTATGTAAGCTGCAGCGCAGTGCGTTTTTGATGCGTATCCGTTCCGTTTCCGTTCCCGGACCTGACAAAATGTGACATGCAGTATTTTTTCTGTCGTAAGCTGAACGGACTGCGCACGTGAGAACTGGAGCCCATAAAACACATAGGGATACATTGGGGTGCATTTTGAGTGCAGCAGCGTACGAAGCCGGTCAGCACACAAAACAGACGTCGTGTGAACAGGCCCTTAGGGGGCAGAGACTTGTGTTTACTCTATAGGTCTCCTTTAAAGAACATCTGTGCTGAGAGAAATACCTATACTGCTACTGCTGACCACTCCTTTTGGAAATTGTAGCTGTCTGGCCGCCATGCTTAATCCAGTAATCTGTGTTTTCGGAGTTGGTGACCCTGAGCAGCTATACAAGTAGAGTTCTAGCTGTGTGCTTGTTGCAGGAAAGTGAGTCTGAAAGCACTGAAGTCAGAGGAGTAAAATGGCCGTCATGCAACTAGCTTGTCCAAGAAGGTGGTCATCAGTGGTCTGCTGCATATGTTTAGACTTCTAACACATTTTTGGTTAAAGCCGAATGTCAGCCAAAACCTTCTTTTTTGTTTCTTGGTAGAGTGGGGAGAGATTGTCCTTTGCCAGGTTTTTATAGCTGCTTGTGTGCCTATTGGGAGAATATTTACCCTCCATCAGTACAGGAAGTGAACACAGGAAAAAAACTATTTTTTCTTTCTCATCCATTGAGGGAAACGGGAAGTCTTTAACCTTTTGTGTTTTATTGCCACGTACCATAGAATGGGAAACATTCAAACAAAAAAACTGTAGTCCAGCCCAGGATGTATTGATTTTTAATTCTGTCTGTAAAATCCTTTTCCTGGAGTCCACTGAGGGGCTCTGGTCCAATCACCTCTGTGTTTATGATCATGCTCTTGGTACTGCTTTGCTACAAAACGTGAGTCATACTGATTAGTAGACGCTATCCTGGGCTTACAGCTTTTTTTTCTTTACCAATATCCTATCCTCCTGTAGGCGGCATTATACCCTCAAGGTTAGAGTCCCTGTGTCCTTCAGTGGAATTGGAAAAAAAAAAAGTCATACTGATTAGTAGACGCTATCCTGGGCTTACAGCTTTTTTTTCTTTACCAATATCCTATCCTCCTGTAGGCGGCATTATACCCTCAAGGTTAGAGTTCCTGTGTCCTTCAGTGGAATTGGGAAAAAAAAAAAAAGAATCTTACACTGAGTAAATCCTATTTTAGTAGAGTGAGGAGCAGTTAAAACTTGTGACAGTGGATATTGGTGTCCCAGTGACAACCGCTCCCTCTTTTTCTTGTGTCAGAGTCACGGAGAGCAAAAGTGAGTGAAAAGCTCCCCAAAAAGGGTCACAGGCCGAAATTAAAACTCAAATATTTACACAATTCCTGCTCTATCCCTTTAAGTAAAAAACACTTTTGGGCTGCAAACCACGTAAAACTGTTTGGTCTGTATATTATGTTTCGGGCCTGCATGGACCTTTTGGTCAGTCTATCCAGAACTATCTTTTAGTACTGTGAGTCTCTAGCTTCTTGCATCACTCAGGCTTTCCAAAAAATGAGAATTCCCTTTTGAAGTTCTTGGTACCATTCTCTTTTTTTTTTTGTACAGCAGCAAAGGGAGACTTCATCTACTGTAGTGACGCTACCTTGCTGTTGGAACTGGGAACTCGAATAGCATGTGCTCAAGGTTGGAATCCCTGAGAGGTGTATGAAGACAATTGCTTTTACTCGCCATTATTTACCCAAAACAGATATCAGATTTGTCTTGACTGACCCTTTTAAGTTTTTGCTTTTTTTTTTATTTATTTTAATTTTATTTTTTTTTATGTTTTCTAACAAGTATTTTTTTCACCCCATCACTGTTCCGTTGTCGTTTTTGTTTTTTTATTTTGTGGTTTGGTTAAACCATTTCATTCGTCATATTGCCTTTCCATCACTTCTGTGTCCTGTACATCTCTCTCTCTATATATGTATACCTATTCCTCAATATACATATATATCGATGTGTGCGCGACCTGATCTAAACGCTATCAAATCCCCTCTCCCTTCTTCTTTCATTCATTTTGATTTGTCACAAACCTCCCTTTTTTTCTTTACACCACCAAGATTTTATTTATGTCAATAACTACAGGGCAGCATGCTGCAGAGGGAAAGCAGAAATGACGTTTACTGCCCTCCGTCCCACTTCATCACCACCGGCTCTGCTCATCCCACCTCCGTCTCCCCCGGTCCCACCACACCCCAGCCGCTCCATAAGCATCGGTAAGTCGAGCTGCACCCTCACTTGTCTTGCTTGATGTCTGTCACCGCTCAGGTTTCTGTGTAGCAGTTACTGTTTTTTTTGTGACCCTTTTTAGCTTTTCTCAACACTGATTAGGTAGATGTAAACCACGTTACTAAAATGCCATATAAATAGAAGACCAATACAAAATGAAAAAGAGTAGTGCAGAAACAACTCAGTGTAGTAAGCATTATAAGAATCTATTCATGAAGTAGAAGTGAATTGCACCTACAATAAGTGACGCAAGAAGAGCGATGTATAATAAAACGCCATGCATATAAAGTCCTACCAAAACTCCTGCCCTGGCCATGGTCACAATCGGCATCTGGTAGATGAAAAACAGCACACTGCTGGAGACCAGCAGCATGTCAGCCATACAAGCTCTGCCCCTACAGGTTGGATCACAGGAATGAGAATTCCCCTTCATCAGTCTCCCCTAATAAAAATCTGCACTGTTTATGGTGCGAACCTGCCCTCCAGGGCTTTCTGGCATTCCTCTTTGCCCTGGTTAGACCCAGACTTCCTGTGTGCCTCAATGGACAAGTAAGAAGATAGGATTTTTATACTCGCAGTAAAGTCCTTTTCTTGGACTCCTTTAAGGGTCCCAGTTCCCACCCCTCTGTGTGTTTGATCATGCTTTGAGAACTTCTTTTCTGCAACACTGAGGCATGCTGGTAGTAGGATGGGTTATCCCGGGCTGGCCTACAGTTTTTTGGTTTGCCAGAGCCCAATATAAGCATAAAGACGGCCATATAAACCTAAAGGCGAAAGACTTCCCGTTTCCCTCAATGGATTCCAAGAAAAGTATTTTATGTTGAGTTCGAAAATCCTATTTTTTGGCTAGTGTGGGGAATGTTTAAAAGCGCTGTTGGACTCCTTGGCCCTTGTTGGGGAGATTCCCTTTCACTTCCTGTCCTGCTGACAGTGTTTACCAGACAGGAAGTGAGGGCAACTCTCCCTTGGCAGCCAATCAGCTTCTCTCCAGTTTGTTAAGATTTAAAAATGAAAGAGAGAAGCCAATTGGTTGCCATGCACAGCTGCTCCAGTTTTGATAAATTCCCCTCATAATGTTTCCAAGTACCTCTGTCAGATTATCATTTCTGTGCGTATCCCTGTAGCAGATTTTCCTGTCAAAGAGCATTCTCGGCAAGAGAGGAAATCTCTCTGATAGAAGCTCAGACGGCGGTTGTATTTGTTCCCCACTCCTATTTTTAAGAAAAAAATGTTTTTTAATCTTGACATACACTTTAAGATCATAAAGATCTAAATGTTCTTCGATTTTCTTTTGCAGAGACTCTCCTCAAGCCTCAGGCAGCTTCTCTTGGACTTGTAACAAACCGAAAACCTTCAAACCCCATGAGAAACACAAAAGACCAGGTGTAGAATCTCCCCAACTTGTCACTCCATCAGGTCACCCATCCAGCCTTTGCAATACCTCCAAACGGACTCTTTTGCCCCAGGAACCGGCTGGAGACAGCTGCATGGCTACAGCCCAGGACGGCATCTCCGAACGAAACGGTCAACCACAACAGTCTCATACCATAAGCTGCAACGGGGACAGCAAGGTCAGAGAGGAAAGCAGAATAAGGAAAAAACACAAGAAGAAAAAGAGGAAAGCGTCCGAACCCTCAGAAATAATAGATGGGGCAGAAGAAGTTATATCCCACCTGGACCCTGAGAGTCAAACACTCAAACTAGAGAAAACTAAAATCAAACCAAAGAAGGCCAAAAGTTTGCAGGGTCACACCTCTCTAAAACCTGTACCAGAGCCAATGAACAATATTGAGAGTTCCCAGGAGGCCACGAGGAAAAAGAAAAAGAGGAGGAAGGAAGAGAGACCAGTTGATTATACCGACAGCGAACATGAAGCATCAGCGAAAAGGTAAGCAGCTTCCCTAGAATGTAGGTGACGGGGAGAGCTTGAAGCAGATCTATTTTTTGTTTGTTTTCCCCTGTGCCGGACCAAACAGGCAGAACAGTGGCGTAGTAGTTAGCGCTTCTGCCTTGTAGCACTGGGGGTCCCTCGTTCGAATCCCAGCCAGGTCACTATCTGCATGGAGTTTGCATGTACTCCCTGTGCTTGCGTAGGCTTCCTCCCAGGTACTCTGGTTTCCTCCCACACTCCAAAGACATGCTGGGAGGTTAATTGGCTCCTGTCTAAACTGGCCCTGTATGTATGCTTGTGAGATAGGGACCGTATATTGTAATCTCCTTGAGGTCAGGGACTGATGTGAATGTGCAACTATGTAAAGCACTGCGTAAATTGTCAGCACTATATAAATACCAATAACAATAAATATCTGCAAAAAAGGTACTGAAAAAGGGTTTTCTAATGGATGCAGGGGTGCTCCAGTTTGGGTCTAGTCCAGTGTTGGGCTTTGCCCTGCATAAGCAGACCACAGGTTCACTTTTAATCTGTACTTGGAGAAATACAGATTCTACCATTGCTGACCTCCTTTTGCAAAAGATGCAAGTTACTGGTTTGTCTCTGTTTTTCGGGGTTTCTGACCTGTAATGGTCTGACCGCTGGGCCTGAAACTTGGCAAACTTTGGGGTGAAATTGCAGCAATTATATTTGCTGACTGCAGGAAAGGGTAATGGCTTAAAGGAGAACTATGAGGTGAGTGAAAATCACACATCCTCATAGTTCGAGCCGACCTGTGACAATTAAACTGTCACACGTCGGCTCAATAGATCGGGAAGAGAGCGAACACATACCGTCGCTCGCTCACTTCTCGATCATCTCCCTGCAGAGACCCGTGACTGTCACTCATCACACCCTGCAGGGATTCCCCGCTCCGATCCTCCAGCGCTGACTGGCGGAACGGGCGGGGCGGGTGCGGGTACAGCTGGCTCTGCCTCTTGATAGGCAGAGCCAGCTGTCATTCACACAGCTGAGTGGATCCGTCCCGGCTGCATCGGTCTCAGTATTCCGCGAGCTGTTGCTCGTTTATGTACTGAGCTTTGGGTCGCGGGAGGACGCTATGTCCTCCCGTGACCCTTAAGAGAAGTGGGATAAAAACAATTACCCCATAGTTCTATTTTTTAATTAGGGCTGTTTTAAAAACAGTGGTCACTTCCTAAGTGGGGTTTCAAAGGAAGGGAAATGATCTATGCGGACCAAAAACACAAAGTGCATAGCTCAACCATATGATGCGTCCTTGCAATCCACACTCTTTACCAGCTTTAATGTGAAATTGTAACTCTGACTACACTTTTTACATGTTATAATGTTCAAAATTTTCCTCCTAGTACGAACATAGTGTCTGGTAAGGATGCGGAAGGGGATCATGTAACCATGAAAATGAAGAAGCATAAATTGCAGAAGCACAACAGCCAAGAGAGCGAAGAGAGCGAATCTGTTAAAGGACAAAAACATAAAGCTCAGGAAATAAGCTGTGGTAAGTAATAAGTAGCTGGGAGAGAGTGACAATCTCTGTTGGAGACACAGACCTCAAAAATCACCTGATGAAGGTTGTTGGAGTTCTGTGTTTAATCAGGAACGCCACCTACTCCACTCATAACAGATACAGGCAACAGATCTCCACAGTGACATCGCAGGGATGCCGGTACGGTTTGTAGCAGGGGGGATTAAAATTCTGCTACAGCTCACGGTATACTGAGTCCGTCGCAGCCGGGATGAATCCCGACATTACTGTCTGGATCCACCCAGCTGCGTGAGGGACAGCTGGCTCTGCCTATCTAGAGGCAGAGCCAGCTGTACAGAGGGGTGTGGCTGTTACTCAGCTCTGCCAGCAGAGGGCAGCATTTTCGCTAAGAGAAAAGGGCATTTCCAAGCAAAGATCAGTCACAGATGAAAATGTGTACGTACAGAACTAGTAGATAAAATGTTGTGACACATAGTTAACAGCAACAATTGGACAGTATAGGAAATCCCTAGTGAGGTGACAACGATTAAAGGAGAACTATGGGGTCAGGGCTTTTCCCCATAGTTCTCCGAAGGGTAACGGGAGGACACAAACTAGCTTCCTCCTGTTACCCAAAGCGGTATACTGAGACGCGGCAGCTGAAACGGATCCCGACAATTATGTCTGGATCCGCCCAGCTGCGTAAGTGACAGCTGGCTCTGCCTATCGCCCCCTCCCCCGTCCGTTCTGCCAGTCAGCGCTGGAGGATCAGACGGGAGGGGAGAATCCAGTCACTCCCCTGTCACGGCTCTCTGCAGTAACAGGATCGAGAAGTGAGCGAACACCGGTATGTGTTCGCTCACTTCCCGATCTACTGAGCCGACCTGTGACAGTCTCATTGTCGCAGGTCGGCTCAGATTATGAGGTGAGTGAAAAGCACTCGCCTCATAATTCTCCTTTTAACACCACTTGAGCACATGCCGAATGTTCCCTTCCCATAGAGAAAGATAGTCTGATTCTGCCCACTATGGTTTTGTTTTAAATTGCTGAAACAGTCTTTTATTCTCCGTAGACTCTGTGTTTGTATGGGACAACCGCATCAAAGACGGATACAAGCGACCTCCTTCCATTCCTTGTGCAAACAAAGCCCAGTTGGCGTGGAATGGCACGGCGAAATCCGGTGTTGTTGAAGAGCTAATAAAGAATGCCAACAATAAAGCCTATGGGACGCAAGGTAAGGCACATAGGCTTTAATTATTCCTGTTCCCTAACTCCGGCCATTCTTTTTTTATAGGGTGCAGAGGAATTAAAACTTCTGCTTGGGACCCCATCAGGGGGCTTTTTCCTCATTTCCTCTCCTGTACAAGAAATGGGGGTTTGCGAGCGTCACTGGAACAGGGGGGCACCGACGGGAATCAAAACATTTCAGACAATCCTTCCTCACGCTACCTAATGGGGGAATTTATCAAAATTGGAGAAGACAGAATCTGGAGCAGCTGTACATGGCAACCAATCAGCATCCACCTTCTTATTTTCAAACCTTAACTGATCGAATTAAAGAGAAGCTGATTGGTAACTTTGGGCAACTTCAGATTCCGTCTGCTCCAGGTCTGATAAATTCCCCAGACTATGTTTTCCCATCGGAGGGGCTATAAAACAAATAAGGAAAAACCCCCAACGCTGCACATTGATAAAGCACAGCGATGTGCTTAGGACTCTGCCAGCTTCTGAGTTTGAAAACAAAAAAAAAAGAAGCCGGGTGGAGAGCCCAATCACGTGACCTTTTAAAGTAATTTGACCGCCTCTCCTCCAATCCATGGAGCTCTCTGCTGCGTTAAGCCGCGTGATACCACATGCTCAGCTCTACTTCATGCATTTAATGAATGGACTATAAAATGTGGGTCATGGTATGGGTAGCCAAGAGGAGTATGACGGAGATCCGCTCTCCCTTTATAAATGGGCCCCTAAGTTTTTTCTTTCCACCTTGAGTTCCTTGATATAAACTTTCTTCATTATGTTGTTTTAGGAATGTTGTGTCTGCTTAATGTTTAGTATACAAGTTATAGCGGACCTTTACCCATAGCTTTAAAATAACAACAAACACAGTAATGACAATCTACAATCACATACGTCTAGATAATTGCCGGCTTTGTGTTCTTTGCACCTTATTTCTCTTTTCTTACCCTGTCCTCTGACAGTGGCCATGTTTACTAAGGGCACGTTACTAGCCCTCCTTTTTACTTCCTTGATTTCTGGCACATGTAACTAGGACATGTGACCACGCACATCATCTCAGGGCAGGGAAATGCCTTTCCCTGAGATCTCGTGAGATTACAGATGAGATTTCCCAGCAATGCTCTGTTGATGACGAGGCAATCCCAGTGTGCATTTCTTTGGCAAACTGGCAAACTGAAGTAATTTTGCTCTTTCAATGCAGGAAGTGAATGCCCTGCAAGTGTAAGTATTTCACAATCGCAGCATTTTACACCTGACATGTCTATGTTATTACTAATCATCATCCATAAAGGGATGCATTGGTAGAATTTGATTTTTGAGAGTAAAGGTCCGCTTTAATGTGGAGGCCATATTGGCTTAATACATCTCCATGCTGTGCCTCCTGTTTAGTGACATCCTGTGCCTGGCTCCTCCTTTCAGAATGAAACGTGTGAACAGCGCAGAACATTTTAACCCTTTGGAGGTGTCTCTGAGCAACTGTACAGCTGAGGTTACACAAAGCGTGGGAACCGGTATGCTCCATTTTATTGTTGTTTATTGTGCTTCGTCCCGCAGTGTTCAGTTGGGAAGGAGAAAAGTCCACTGTAAGCCAAGATGCTGAATATGATGCAGAGGACGCCAAACACAGCTCGGTTATAGATGAATGGGATGAAGACTTTGATAGTGGAAAGGTAAATCTGGGTTATCAATGGAAAGGAAGTTGAATCTGTGTACACATTGTGTTTCTAAAGAAGTTTGGTTAAACTGTTAAAGAGGACCTGTACTGTGGAAGGCTGTGCCCATTTGGAAGGGTGAAGTTCCTTTTTTAAAGGTATCATTAAAACAATTTGTTTTTGTCTTGCTCTGTTTTGCAGGTGAAGAAGATTAAGTTCAAACGGGACAGGTTCAGAATTCATAACAGTTTCCAAGCCTTTCAGAACCGGCGCAGCTTCTGGTCGGTTACCCCACAACGAAACTTCTCCAGATTCAAGAGCAGATTTTGAGCGCAACATGGAAGGCCGCGTGCGATGGACACAATATTTTTGTATTTTTATCGGCCAGTCAGAGGTGCAATAAAACCTGCAAGTGTCGGTAGCTCTGGGATGCCGGTCCTAGCTCTGTCTGCATTTTTAACTAATTGTGGTTTGATTAAGTCTATTTCCTCAAACATTGAGGTCCTCAGGTGAATCTCTAGCTGTCAGGGTAAGTGGACATATCCGGGCAGTGCAAAATATAGCAATGATGAACGGACTGGCCACGTGCTAAGAGTCCCCCCAGATTTTACTTTCATGGCAGGCAGAAGGCCTATGAAATAATTCTGATTGCTTGGTTCTATTGGGTTGTCTGGCTTAAGAGATGGCCCCTTGCTTACACCCAATAGAGCTGATTGACAAGGCAAAAAACGGTTGTGTGATGACCCGTCGCAAATCTTTTCATTCGTCTGACTGAACTGCTGCAAAGAATAAGTGTGTTTTTAGACAAACTGCACTTATGCTTTTTGACCCCTCTCCTGACCTAAACAATCTCAGCTCACCTTCGGCAGATCTATACTTACTGAGATCCAAGGGCTGCTTCTCCGCTGTTCACATCCAGCTCTGCAAGTTTTCCTTTCCTGGCTGCATCCCTTCTGGGAACAATCCCACTCTCCCCCACTTTAGATCTGTACTTACCGAGATCCAAGAGCTGCTTCTCCGCTGTTGGTTCACATCCAGCGCTGCAAGTTTTCCTTTCCTGGCTGGGAACAATCCCACTCTCCCCCACCGTAGATCTGTACTTACCGAGAACTAAGGGCTGCTGCTCCGCTGGGCTTCATCCCTGCTAGGAAACGACCCTATAGAAGTCAGTGGGGCTGTAATGGGCAGGCGTGGCCAGCGGAAGAAGCATTGCGGTGCTGGATGAAAACAGCAGAACTGTGGAGATCTGATCTCGTTAACTACAGATCTGCGCAGGGGGAGGTTGGGATCTTTTAGGTCAAGAGTGGGGTAAAAGGATAAGTGCACCTATTCGTTAAGACTTGCATCTCATTGGTGGTTAAACTGCTCTGTTCGATAGGTTTAAAATAAGAGAGTTGGGTAAATGACTGATTTGCATTACCCACTATGAATACTAATGAATGGGAGAGCTCCAAGAGAGCTTGCAAAACACAGAGGCATTTCCACAAGAATATGAAGAGTAAAGCTTACAAAAATGTAAGTTTCTGTTTTCATATAGATCAATGCATATGACTGCTTCATGTACACTCAATGTTCATCGCTGGCATATGTGTTTTTAAAAATACCTCTGCAAATGGGCTTTAAGGTTCGTCCTGTCTCTTGCATCCTGAAATCGGGTCCAGACCTGCAATAAATGTAATACATTTATAAAAAATGTAATCAGGGTGGGGTGGCCTTTTTTCAGAATTTAAGAGCCAATGGGTTGAACATTGGAGAGCTGGCTGGTGTTTTTAAAGGACGCCTGTGTTAAAGCTGAACTCCAGGCTAAGTACACAGATAAAATACATATAAGGGAGATGTTTTACCTGCCACTAGTTTTGTATTTTTGCATCCAATCCTGTGACTTGCAGCTCTGCCACACAGTATAGTCCTGCCTGGCTGGGGAGGGGATTACAGCTGGGTGGTCTTTAATACTAAAGTCATTGTAAAAAGATGTCACCAGCACACCGGAGTCCTTCACCAGGTGTTCATTTATGGACACACCATGTCATAAATGCTTTCGGGGACACACAGGATCCCTTCATCAGGCTTAGCATTGACTTTAATACTAGAGAACGCACTAACTAAATGACATACCTTTCTGCAGTATTGGCAGTGATGCACCCCAGTGGCGTCACGCGGGGGGTGCGGCCTGCACCAGGGTGACACCAAAATGACTCAGTCATTTTGATGTCACCCCCCTCTGAAAAGTCAGGCGCTCGGTCATGGACGAACGCCCGACAGTATCAGGTGAGAGGAGGGGGTCCCGGCGGCATACCTTATCCCGCCCGGTGACTGTCCTCTCTTCGGGGTGACACTCGGTTACCGCTCCGGGTGTCACCCAGCCTCGGGACGCCCCTGATGCACCCCCAGGGGGCAGGTCCATGACAATTTAGGCTTACAGTAGGTGGGTTGAATGATGCTGGCTGTCACTCAACCCAAAAGAGGAGTGTGTCGCAGCACAGGTAGGGAGAGAGCATTGTCTCTCTGATAACAGGAAAAGCCTGAACATGGACCTTCATGGTAGGATCACCAGATATTAGTTTAATGAAAGCTGCAGATTTAATAAGATTTAAAACAATTTTTTGAATTACATTAGGATGTAAGTGATTTTAGTGATTGGGCTGACATCTACGTTAAAGCAGATGGATAAAGTGCAGTCTGTCAAGTTTTTTTTGGCAGTCCTTGTCCCTGTTGGATGGATTTCCTCTCACTTATTATCCCAGTGAATACAGCCATTGTGACAGGTTGCCAGGCAAATTGCCACATCAGGGAGGCCGGCTACATTAAACTGGACCAATGCAGTACAATGCAAGGTTTGCATATAATATCTGGGTGCCTGTTCTGCCTCCCCAGGCTAAGCATTGAAGTGTGATCTCTGTAACTTGCAGTTGTGACGTGATAACAATAACTCCCAATCTCACAGTGGCGTTGGCAGACAGTGTCTCAATCCAGATGACACCTTGAAGATCGTTAAGTTTAATCCAAACTAGACAAAGGACATGTGGCTGAGATGCAGACTGGGACATAATGAAGAAAGGTCGAACCATTTACACAGAGGAAAACCTGAACTATAGGGAGGTGTGGAGACAAATGCCAGAGACAGATCAAGCAAATAATATTTAAAGGGATATCACAAAGCTTGTGTAACATGACAGTCCCCTCCCCCTGTAAAAATCAACTACTGTTGGTTGTTTCACAATGTACTTGTAAAGAAAATAATTATTTATACTTACCTTACCCCCATGTTCTGCATTGTTTGGCATGTAGCCACCGGCCGTCCGGGAAGATTCCAGGGGAATGCAGAGCAGGTGACATCTCGCAAGAAGACACTCCAGGGCACAGTCTCACAAGATTTTATCTGCTCTGTTCCTGAGGATCTTGTCCCAAGAAATATAATGTCCTGCTTGCCTAGGCACGGTGGGCACAAGATGGAGGGAAGTCAAAATTTGTTTTGTTTGTAGGTACTTTAGGTTCCTAGAGAGCAGAAGCACTCCTTATAGAGACGGCTACATGTGTGTGGGCCCCTTTGCTCGCATTGTATCATATGTTATAATACAACATATATAGGACTGTATAAAATGTGACCTTGCCATTCTTTGATCTTGCAAGCAAGTGGTGTCTTGTCATGGTCATGGCCCTTAACCACTGTCAGCCATATCAATATGCACGTAATTGAACCACTAGTAGGATTCTTCTTGAGGAGGACCAGCTACAATGAACCATTTTGGTTCATCTCATGCTTCTAATGTGTTGTAGTCGAACAGGTCTCTGGTATATTTTAGGTTTCCCGATGCTCCCCTGTGCAGTGCTATCTGCTTAAAATCAGTCACTGTCCTGCTTTATCCAGTCCTCTGCTATTAGACACCATTATCTTGCTTAGACTCCAAGATGGCAGCATTTGGCATCACGTTGAAAAAGAAGTAAGGATTTGAAGCAGGGCCACAACACACCAAGAGTCAGGACGATGGCACTGATTAGATGAACATCAGGGACCTTAAAATGAAGGTTAATTAGTGGTTAATTTATGTTTAATATACACTATATGGCCAAACGTTAAGCACCTCACACCTACCTATATAACCAAAACTATGTGGACAAGCTCAAAATTATTGCGTACAGGTGTTTCCAGTGAAGGATACTGATAATGTTACAGCATGCAAAAGGCAGTTTATGTACGTCCAACCTTCTGGTAATAGTTTCAAGGCCCTTTTCTGCTCCAGCATAACTAACCCCCAGCACAAAGCCAGCTCTGTAAAAATATGGTTTGATGAGTTCGAGTGGAGGACCTCAAGTGGTCTTCACTGTAACTTGACATACTTTGGGCCATATAGGTGTGATCAGGTGCCTACAAACCTTTGGCTATGCCAGCTCCATAAAGACATGGATTGAGGAGCTTGGTATGGAGGAACTTGATCAGCTTGCACAGAGCTCTGACCTGAGCACTGCTGGGATAAATTGGAATGCCGATTGTGAGCCAGGTCTTCTCATCAAACATCTGAACCTGACCTCTTAAATGCTCTTTTGGCTAAAAGGACGCACATTCCCACAGACACCTCCAAAATCTTATGGAAAGCCTTCCCAGAAGAATGGAGACTGCTATGCTAAAAAGATGGGGAGGGGAAACTGCATATAAATGTCCATATGGTTTTGGGATGGAATGTTCAAGCTCATGTAGGTGTGATGGGCAGGATTCCATACTGTATTGTGTACTTTTTAAAATAATTTCAGTAGATTGAACGTTTGTGACTGGTTCTCTTTAAGGATATGGGCATGGCTAGTCACGAGTTTGTTTTACATGTTATTGCTGCTTTAAGAAGTTATTGAGTTTAATTCTGTTGTAAGAATGTAAGCTCTGCTGTCTTCTTAGCAATGAGTTATGGATTTCGTTTTGCCTTTTAGTCTTTCAAACTTTTCTGCTCCCTCTTAGTGCAGCAAAACCCAAGAACCAGTCAGAATTCAACTTCCTTCAGTTTAGGACAGTCGGCTTAAATAAAACCAGGCAAGATATGCAGGTCCTCAACCCCAATTCAGCAGCAAGAACCTTCCAGCTTGCTGGTTGGATTTGGTTGGAGCAGTTGCACACTGATGACTTCAGTCTGCTGTCTCCTGTCTGCTTGCTCCCTCTTGGCACTTGTTGGTTGTTCCCAATAAAGACCACATCTCTGAAAGGTAGCAAGTCTCTGGAGCTGGAGCTGGGGGGTTATGAGAGGGGAATTGAAAAGAATACAATGATAACGTCCTCAAACTCTTTTCACACCAGGAAAAGAACAAAAAAGACAATACTTAGGCCCGTCTGATGTATATATGTTGGATTGGATTTTTTTTTGGTACAACCTGATCAAAACTGAGGTCTTTTGTAGAGTGAATCTGATGATAGATTTTGTATTATGATAGATGATTACTACTGATTAGTACTGGAATCCTCTCAGGAGTGCAGTGGTACAGCTGAAAGTTGGTGCGGCTGAATTCTTCCTCCTCTTAAGGTGCCCATACACTGCTCGATAATCGTATGCGATCGGTTTTTCGTACGATAATCGAGCAGTGTGAACGGAGACGTGCGACCGTTTCTACTGTACGGTCGCACGTCTTCTGTCGAACCAGCATGTTCGAAAACCAGCCGGGAATCGTACGATTGTCGGCTGGTTAGAACGGTGCTCGGAAGACAAATGCCGAACGGGCCGGTGTGCGCACGCGCACACTGCCCGTTCAGCATTGCGGTCATCGGAAGCCCGCCCCTCAGGGGGGTGTGGCTTGCGATGATCGAGAGTGCGATCTGCCTGTCCAAGATAGGCAGATCGTACGTTTTTTTTTTTAATCCCTGTACAACCATCGCAAGACTAAAGTCTTGCGATGGTTGTAGAGTGTATGGCCACCTTTACCCAGACAAGCGTGGTTGGGTGCTCTTCTAGTGCAGTTTTAGCGTCTCCAGACACCAGCACTCGCCACCGTTGTCCCAAAAAGAAAAATGTCTTCATTAAATCCCCAGGCCTTAGTCATACCCTGTATGTCAGATGTTTAACCCCTTCCCTGCCAGTGCCATATCCCTTACGGTGCTGGCTTGGGATCTGTGCAAACAAACTCACCAGGACTCTGTTTTTGGCCGCTGAGCTGCCTCCAGATCACTTTCAAGGGCTGGCAAAGCTCTGCCATACAGCATAACCCTGTCTCACAGGGCAAGGGACCTTATTTTTCTCTGCTGCAGTTTGGTAACCCTTACAGGTCTTGTCCCTCCCCCCAGGGCCTGTGATTGGACATTGTAAGGAGAAGCAGCAGACTGATGAGCTCATGTGTTACTCTGCTCTCTCATGCTTAGCATGTTCCTTATGAGCACATGAGCATTGCAACACAACTGTTTGGCTCCTAGTTCTGCTTCTCCTTCTCCTAGCAAGAAACCTTGGCAATTAAATCTGTTCCTACGATGAATAATCCGAGATTCCTTTTTCGAAATGGGCTAAAACCACGTGTGAAAATAATTGGTAGATTTAGAGATCAGGCAGCTGAAGTTTTATAAGCAGCTCTCCACATTTCATGTAAAAATTGTGAGCCTCCTGGTTGGTCCATTAATGAGCCAGGAAAAGGTAACATTTGCATATGTCAGCCTAGTAGGGAAGGGTTACAACCCATCAGGTATTCATTACTTTGTTCCTGCTTGGGTAATCACTCCTCCATTTGTTATGGTGACCTATATAGAAAGGGATGGGAAATTCAACATTTCTGAGTCTTTTATAGGAAGAGGAGTTGATGGGAAATCTTCCAATGGGTAAACCTGTTCTTGTGACAGCTAAGAGGGGAATTCCCCTCACTTTGTACACATTTTCTCTCTCTTCCTACTAAGTCTTTAGTACAGGATGTAAAGGGAAATGTTCCCGACGGGACTCCAGAAGAAAAAAATAGACCTTGACATGGGTCTTGACTATTCCCTACTTTATACAAAACTTGACCTATACTTTAAGAATGTATACCTCTGATATTTAAGTGGAGGAGGGGTTGCTGCTTTTGGAAAATTAACCTCATACACATATTCATGTCCAAATGGAACTTTTTTCATATCACCCATCCAGGATCTGCAATGTGAAATAGTCTCAGTTCTTTGCTTGTATAATACGTCTTTTTAACGTCTCAGCCTCAGACTGAGAAGAAAAACCGTGTTAACAAAGTTAATTATAAACGATGAATTCTATTACAGAGAAAGATGATGTCCTTTTTATTGAATAAAAAAGAGAATTTAAGAAGTTTGGCCTCCTGGTTTTCTTTGTAGACCTTCTCTGCACAGTTCTGTTGGAAAGTCAGCCGATTACAGTGGAGCTGAACTCAGAGTGACGATTTGCTGCATTTTGGGGAACATCTAGAAATTATATTTGTTGGATTGTAGATAAGGTTGGAAAAAGACACCGGTCCAACCTGTGAGTGTGCTTTTGGTTTATAAACGCAACCCTTGAGGAAGACCTCAAGAAGTGCCCAGCGAGGAAGACCTCAAGAAGTGCCCAGCGAGGAAGACCTCAAGAAGTGCCCAGCGAGGAAGACCTCAAGAAGTGCCCAGCGAGGAAGACCTCAAGAAGTGCTCAGCGAGAGAGACCTCAAGAAGTGCCCAGCGAGGGAGACCTCAAGAAGTGCCCAGCGAGGGAGACCTCAAGAAGTGCCCAGCGAGGGAGACCTCAAGAAGTGCCCAGCGAGGGAGACCTCAAGAAGTGCCCAGCGAGGGAGACCTCAAGAAGTGCCCAGCGAGGGAGACCTCAAGAAGTGCCCAGCGAGGGAGACCTCAGGAAGTGCTCAGCGAGGAAGACCTCGGTATCGGCCTGACATTTTTTTTTTCATTTCGGTTTTGAAAAAGGTTTACCTTTTTAGTAACTTCACAGATAAAAAAAAGTTTTAAAAAAAATTCCTGCCTTCCCAGTCCTGAGATTTACACAGCCCTGTCCGGCAGGGAAGGAGGCCCCATTTTTTTTCTGCCGCAGTTTAGTAACAATTACAGGTCTTCTCCCTCTGCCGATGTGAGGACAGTTATAGGAGAAGCTTTAGACGAGGTCATATCACATGAACACTGCAGAACAACAGATTGGCTACTTGTGCTGCTTTTCACTCTCCCGTTCTGAGCTTTGCTGTACAGGGACTGCAAGAGACTGATTCCACGTCATATTCAGGTACTTACACTGCTTGCATTTAAAATTAATATATTTAATGATGTATTCATTTGTGTATTTTATATCTGCCGGGAGTTCAGCGTTAAGGTTCCCATAGCCTTTGTTTGCTGGATCTGACCACAGTAAAGATGTATTAGGTACACCCTGGGACTTCAGTACCTAGCACTCTACAATGCTTCCTGCTGGCTGCGCTGTGACAGATGAACCTTTGGGGACCCGCTGTGGGTGACAGCCGCGTTCCCAGTCACTGACCGCATCTCCTGGTCCAGTGATCATTGTGGATTAGAAGAAAGACGAATCCAGATTGATTTATTTATTTTAAAAAGCTTTCATTTTATTTATAAGTCACATGTATTAGAAACATAATTTTATTATCATGATGCTAAATAGGGGAAATCACAATAAAATGATTTCTTTGTATCTAAATTTTTATTTTAAAATCATCACCGGTCAAAATGTACACTCTTATTTTTCAAATATACAGGAAATTAAAGTCTACCTGACGCCAACATGTTTGTTTTTGATTGATTAAGGAACACAAAAAAAAAAAATGACTGTCCCATTAGAGAGAATTTCCCTCACTTCCTGGTCTGATGACACCACTGGGGCTGGAAGTGAGGGGGAAGTACCCCTGGGGGGACACCGGTAACGATATTAAAGGCTCATGGAGGATCTAGCCTAGCCTTTGCCAACTAGGGCAAATTTTTGTGATGGTAGGAATCTGATATAAAGAGGGGGCTGAAGACTCTGGAATGAGGCTCCTGATGTGTAGCGGAAACTTTGCTGTAAAAGAATGGGGGGGGGGCGCTTCTGATGTAAAGGGGGCTACTGATGAATTCCAAAATCCTATGGCACCCCACATAGATTTTGTATGCAGTCCTCTCATCAAAATCAATTTTTGACTGGGGTGCCTTGAGATTTTGCATACTTTTAAAGGGTGACCTGACTGAAAAAAGGTTGAGAAATGCTGATCTGGCTTACCCTTACTTGACTTGTATTTATATACAGTATATATATATTTATTGATTTATATTGTGCTGGTGAACATTCTCATTTTATCCAGGTCATGGTATAGCTCAGCATTGGGCTACCTTGGCATTCCAGCTGTGCTGTAACTACAAATCCCATTATGTTGGGGTTGTCTGAACCGGGGGTCTAATGCAAGTCTGTGCATCTACCTGCCATCAGACTGAGACTGCTGATCAGATATCCATACCCAGGGGCTCCTTTAGACTCTCCCAGAGATCTGTATTAGACAAAAGGATCAGGTAGCCCGGAGAAGGTCATGCTAGCAATCAGAGGCCTTCTTAGGCTTCCATAATGTAATGTCGACGTCTTCATATACAGCCCTGGAATAAAAACAAAGCTCTGTTTAGCCAATGGAAGCAAAGAAAATATCAGTACTTCTGTGTAGGGGGAATCATGCAACTCACGCCCTTCCTCCCAGGTAGACGAAATTGCTGAACTCCATTCGGAATATAAAACAACGTTACCCCAGTATACTCAAGCCTACTTAGAGAACCTCAATTTTCACACTATCTAGGACTTTAAAGTAGAATTGAAGCCAAAACTTTATAGTTTTGGATACAGTAAGGGAGGGTTATAACCCTTGTCAGCTTATTTTTGCCATCCGAGTCCCATTGGAGAGATGTTTCTTCACTTCCTGTCCTATGGACGCAACAGGAATTGAGAGCTAATCCCTCCAAGGTGAGGGAAACCCCCTGGTGGTCATCATTACTAGTGTCCAAAGTGGATGATTTCCCATCTATTTTGGGTCTGGTGACCACCTAAAATGTGGAACTTTTCTTTCACTTTCAGGACCCATTCACACCACATCCAGATCAGACCAGATTGTTTCCAGACCCAAAATGCATCCCAATGTATCCTTATGCTATTTCTGGCCTCTGTTCACACCAGTGCAGTCCATTCCAGACCAGACAAATACTGCATGTCTCATTTTGTCTGGTCTGGAATGCACTTGAACTGTGGGCAGGTTCACACCATTTTCCAGACCAGATCTGGTCCGGAAAATGGTGTGAACCTGCCCTCAGTGATAATGGTCACCAGGAAAATCAGAGGTGGCGGGATTTATCTCCCTAATGGGGACACAAACAGCAATAAAACCTTGACAGGTGTTCTAATCCCTCTCAAATCCATCCACAACTAAACAAGGTTTTGGCTTCAGTTGCACGATAAGCCCTGAAGAAGGGGCAACGCTATAACCTCTGAAAGGCATTGGCTAATTGTCTTTGGACTTTTGTGACTAAATAAAGACTGTTGGACTCCTAAACCTGTGGCATGGCACCCTTGTTTTCTCCACACCTTCCAGTTTTTATATATAAGGCGTCCAATCTCATGCCATGATTTATATTATTAAAAATATACTGATGATAAACATAAGCAATACAATGCCGCGTCGCCTACTCACTCTGTGTCATTGGTCTCCACGAGAGGATCGAACTCTAGGAGCTCATAGTAATTTGGTAAATTGTTATTGGAATCATCTGGAATATAAAGAAATCAGACGTTAATAAACCTGATTGAGTAGAATACAAATCTATTATGATTTGAGAGTAATGAGTCTGGGAAACGTTCAGAGAAAGCCTACCTGGTTTTGATGATGTCCTGTTTGTGGATTCTTTTGGTAGTGGAAGAACGGTGGGGTTCAGTGTTGGGACAGCCGGCAGTGGGGGTGATTGCGCCGGCAGGGTGGTGGCTTGTGCGGGAAATGTCGACAGGAGAGGCGCTGAATACTGTGCCGGTGAAAGGAAAGGTGTTGAAGGTGGGAACTGGGGAAGAAACGGCGTCGTATTTTGGGCTGGTGGGAAAGGAAGGGTAGGTGGCAGAAACTGAAATAAAGTTAAAAAAAAAAGTTAGCTCGGACATGGACAAGATCATTCTGTGTCTGCATACGTGGCCTATATGCCTTAGATGGGGAAGGCGATGAAAAGTGAATTGCTTGCTCAGGGTTACCAAACACACTCACATTGTCATACAGGATCCTGGGAGGAAGTTTTGGCAGCTGATTCTGGGTTCCGAATGAGAACCTGTTAAATAAATAGACAAAACGGATTAATTGCGTATTTTGCCACATTATGTCTACCTCAGCATGCATACAGTTCTTAAGTTTATCCAACATAATACCAGTACCCATGGTATTTTAGGAAATAAAAAAGGAGAATCATCATAGGGAAACATCTGAAAGGAATCAGATCAGTGGTAGGGCAAGGTCATTTACTAGGCAATGCAAAAAGGCCACAGCTGTGGTCAAACTACAAATCCCATGAGGCATTGCGAGATTCTCACAGCCACAGGCATGACTCCCACATACAGATACATCATGGGATTTGTAGTGTCACCACAGCTGGAGGGCCGGAGGTTCCCCCACCCCTGTGCTAATGCAAACCTATGCGGATGCCAGGCAAAGCAGTAAGTTTACTTTATTTCCTCCCCAGCAGCACATACTCAACTTTCCTTCGCTCCCCTAGCGTTAGTATTAGGGTACCTCTGGGTCTCTATGGCGATTGTGCCGCCACTGGTGCATACCTAGTATTTATCAAAGATTTTGGTGTGGAGAGACTTTGAGTGGAGTCCTGACCTCAACCCTATTGAACGCCTTTGGGATACCGGTTGTGTGCCAGGTCTTCTCATTCAACTGACCTCGCCAACGCTGTTTTGGCCCAATGGGCACACATTTTCAGAGACAGCCTCCAAAATCTTGAGGGGAGTCGTCACAGAAGGGTGGAGGCTGTTATAGCCACAAAAAGGGGTCAACTCCATATTAATGTCCATGGTTATGTAATGGGATTTCCCATAATTAGCTGTCATTGCCAGCATACAAGCCCATGATGGAAAGGCATCTGTGAGCCCCCAAAATGCGTTGGGTTTTTGGCTTTGCATTGCATCTAATAAAGAACACATACTAGGCTGAATTATAGCCACAAAGGGGAGCCAACTCCATATTAATGCCCATGGGTATGGAAAGGGATGTCTTAAAAGCTCATATAGGTGGGATATTTGGGGGTCTACAAACATTTGTCCATATAGTGTATCTTCGGAGAATGAATCTTCATGATTGTTGTCTTTCATATACTCATATGTGATAGAGCAAGACTCATACATCAGTCACCAGTAGATGGGGGTATTACTCTATATAGCTCACTCACGGGCTATTCACAGCCTCCCTTAACTCCAACAGGTCCCTCTGTGGATAGATGAAATTATTCTGGTTCTGCTGCAGAGGAACCTGCGCCCTCCCGTCATCTGAAACGTAAAAAGGAACCGGGGGTTATGTACAATATATTAGGCCTACGTCACATTTAAGAGAACCTGTCACCAAGAAGACAAGTTCAGAGTTCTGTAGCATTCCTAGCGTTTACTGACCCTGTGCAGTGCGCAGGAAACATGTATCACCTTTGACAGCCATGCACCCACAATAAAACCCGAATGTAGAACCCGGATTTGTTCTTATTGGTTACTAGTGCTCAGCACGCACATTACAGTCTGGCTGTACAATCTCTTTTAGATCTACCAACAACTATGTAATACAAGGGCCTATGTGTTTCGGTACCGGTTGATTGGGTAGTTTACGTAGGGTCTCATATTACATAATTCTGGTAAGTCTAAAGTTGATTCTGCACAGATTTTATGCTGAAATTGTAACGTGTTTGGTGAACTAAAGACACTTTGCATTGGCCAGTTAAATAAGTCTAAGCCCTCAATCACACGAGAAAGGCCGGCCCGTACAGCTCCATGCTGTATGCACGGCCGTATCGGGCAGCTCCCGGGAACGACAGGTGCGGCGTGTGATTAGTACGCAGCCCCTGTCCTTCTCTATGGGAGTACGCGGCCCTACATTCACCCGCCCTGCACGTCCGTGCGGGCGCTAGTGTCCGTACTCGTACGGACACCAGCATGGATCCTGTCTACGTCCGAGCCGGGACACCAGCACCCGTACGGACTTAAGGTGAGCGTAGGGCGGCGTACGGCTGTGTAGTCCCATAGAGAACTGAAGAATGTCACGACATGTCATTAGAAGCTGAAGCTAGCGTTTCGGGACCTCGCAGGGACCCTTCATCAGAGCAACATAGTGACCAGGTCGTGACATTCTTCAATAAACATATAAAGAGATATTGAATTCTTCTGTGTGTGTGCCGGTGACCTGTTGAGACTATTCAACTTGCATCAAGACACACGTTGAGCTGCTTTTAATGGAAAACGCATAAAGCAAAAATGTGAAACTATAAAAACATAGATCACATTTATGTGTAAAATGTAGAATTTTTTTTCCTCCAAACTCTACAAACTGCAATATGTATTAATAGAAAAATATTAGATTGAATTTGTTGCCCTGGTAACCAATCCCAGGGTCAGGCAAGGAAAAATCCAGTGTGTTGACATGGACTAAGTTGTGAAGTAGCTTGGTAATAATTAAACAGCTCGCCGTGGTTGCCATGCCAACAGCTGGAAGTCCACCCTGTCAATTTCGGCCTACCTGCGTACTGTATTAAAAAGGTCTTTTCAGTCTCCACGTGTATAAGTGTTGAATATATTCCACAATAGAGAAATTTGTAGGGTGAGTTTAACCCCCCTGATATATATCATGAACTACAAAGTGTCTGTGCACACTGTAGCAATCCTTCTCTCATTGACACATGACATTAGGTGTCTATTTATAAAAAAAAAATTGCATAGCTATTCGTCTAGTGAAACTGAATGTACAGAATGTTGTAAGAATAAGGCAAAATCGAATGTTCTCTTCCGGTCCAATTTTCTTCAATTATTATGGACAATGGTGAATCTGGAAAATACCACTAGGTGAAGCTCAGGATCATAGGAAATATATACATCTTAGTAACAAGAGATACAATGTAACAATTGTAGAGAACACTGGAGGGAATGGGCAGATACATATAACCATGGCTACAACAAGGATTCCAATAATTTGGAGGGATGTCCAGTTTTGTCCACACATTTTTGGCCATATAGCATAGGCGTTATGGTCAGGTGACCACACACAAGGTCTTACTTCCTCCTTACTTTTTTTTGACCCTTTTCAGTCCTTCTTCCTTACACATTCAACAGAAACCGCTCTCGCAGACAGGACCAATGACTTTAACAGAGCCCGATCACTGGATCAATGAACAGATAGACATAAACACAGCCCGATCACTGGATCAATGAACAGATAGACATAAACACAGCCCGATCACTGGATCAATGAACAGATAGGACGTAAACACAGCCCGATCACTGGATCAATGAACAGATAGGATGTAAACACAGCCCGATCAATTAATAGACAAGACATAAACACAGCCCGATCAATGGATCAATGAACAGATAGGACGTAAACACAGCCCGATCAATGGATCAATGAACAGATAGGACGTAAACACAGCCCGATCACTGGATCAATGAACAGATAGACATAAACACAGCCCGATCACTGGATCAATGAACAGATAGGACGTAAACACAGCCTGATCACTGGATCAATGAACAGATAGGACGTAAACACAGCCTGATCACTGGATCAATGAACAGATAGGACATAAACACAGCCTGATCACTGGATCAATGAATAGATAGACATAAACACAGCCTGATCACTGGATCAATGAATAGATAGACATAAACACAGCCTGATCACTGGATCAATGAATAGATAGACATAAACACAGCCCGATCACTGGATCAATGAATAGACAAGACATAAACACAGCAAGATCACTGGATCAATGAATAGACAAGACATAAACACAGCCCGATCACTGAATCAATGAATAGACAAGACATAAACACAGCCCGATCACTGGATCAATGAATAGACAAGACATAAACACAGGCCGATCACTGGATCAATGAATAGATAGACATAAACACAGCCCAATCACTGGATCAATGAATAGACAAGACATAAACACAGCCGATCACTGGATCAATGAATAAAAAAGAAATAAACACATTAGACAAGACATAAACACAGCCGATCACTGGATCAATGAATAGACAAGACATAAACACAGCCCGATCACTGAATCAATGAATAGACAAGACATAAACACAGCCCGATCACTGGATCAATGAATAGACAAGACATAAACACAGGCCGATCACTGGATCAATGAATAGATAGACATAAACACAGCCCGATCACTGGATCAATGAATAGACAAGACATAAACACAGGCCGATCACTGGATCAATGAATAGATAGGACATAAACACAGCCTGATCACTGGATCAATTAACAGATAGGACGTAAACACAGCCCGATCACTGGATCAATGAATAGATAGGATGTAAACACAGCCCGATCGCTGGATCAATGAATAGATAGGATGTAAACACAGCCCGATCACTGGATCAATGAATAGATAGGATGTAAACACAGGCCGATCACTGGATCAATGAATAGATAGACATAAACACAGCCCGATCACTGGATCAATGATCAGATATGATTAGTCACATGACATTGACCACACCAAGTTCAAAATCCTTCCGGCTCACTGCCGACTATTCACACGCTCATGAAAGTGGGTGAATGTGAAATGTCAGCATTGATACAGAGTTTCACCCCCGGACTTTGTTCATCAAGTAGATTCACGCATGGGAGAAGACGGAGAGCCAGTCAGCACATTGCACAGTGCAGGATAGATGCGTGCATTTACATGAAGGTCATTGTGCTTCAGCGCTCGCTCAGATGGATCGATAGCGCGCGCGCGCGCGCGGCGGGAGGAAGACACACGCAGGACATGGTGAAGAATGTCATCAGCCCCCATGCATTTTTCATGACAGCGGGACAGTGGCTCACCCCGGGTTGCTGCTAAACAATACCAAAGTGATGAAAGCGCCATTTTGCATTGCGCGAGCTGTTAAGCGTATGAAGCCGTTAGCAGAGACAAGATGGGACCCATTTGTCATTGTTCTCTGCAGCCTTGAAGACATCCACTTGTTCCATATATCATGAGCTGTACTAATGCTGTAAAAGCCACTACAAGAGACAATTATTTAGCTATAAAAGAGCAGATTGGATAGATCTATAGGGAAAGATAAACTTACGTTAACCCTTGCAGTGGGGCTACCCCCACAATGAAAGGGTTAAGTGCTCATTTTTCTATAGGGGTCGGAATACAGATCCTCAGTCATGCGGCAGTCGGCACTCATCCCCGCCCCCCTTCCGGCTTTGGCATCTTCACGTCTGATGCAGGTCAATGGACTGCATTAGACGTAATGCCGTCACGGACGTCTGAATATATCTACTTATTGCTTAAGAGTAGGCCACCACCACTTACTTACAGTGGCCTATCCAGGGTATGGCACATGCCCTGGGTGCCACTTGAACAGGGGGGTGCCACTTGAACAGGGGGGTGCCACTGCGTGGGTCAGCGAAACTTTGCCGACCCCCAGAGACAGCTGACCTTTTTTCACTCTGGCAGCTGTCCCGCTGAGCTCCTGGCAACCAGTGATGTCACTTGTTGCTAGTAGGTGGGCGGGAAGTCATAGGCGCTATTTTTAGTAGATACGCCGCTTACTTAGGACCTAAAACTTTTTGAAATCCGCTCTTTTCACAAGAGTGGCAGTGCAAGGAAATATGTAAACCGATATTTACCCAAACTGTGAACTTGTTGTGGAGCGGTGGCTGGCACAGGAACGTTGGCAGTAGGCAGCGGGTATCCATTGACAGGGTTGTGCGCGTTGGGCAGGGGGCCAAGATCCAGTTCAATCAACTCACCAGAAGGAGCTGATGGCTGATTGCTGACAATCTGAAAGCAAAACAAAAAGTTTCCGTAAAATAACCTTGGAGGAATATCCAGGTTTCCAATAGACATGTAAGCTGCGGTAAAATTCTGTTCGGGCATTTCGTTATTTCGGGATTCGGTTCCAAAATTCCATCCGGTTCGGGTTTCGGATTCGGATGAAATCCGATTTTTCCTTATAGTGTCAGATGAGGTTACGAATATTCATTGTGAACACCACAGAAAGCCATATACATAGTATTTGAGGTTGAATAAAGACATTAGTCCATCAAGTCCAACCTATTAGGATCTCATTCTAGGAGTACCTGTACCCCTGTATATTACGGTCCCTTAAGAAATCGTCCAAAAGTTTCTTGAACAATTCCACATTATTTGCTGAAATCACCGCCTGTGGCAGTGAGTTCCAGACCCTAACTGATCTTACTGTGAAGAACCCCCTTCGCCCCTTGTGCTGGAATTTTTTTTCCACCAATTTTAGGTGATGGCCTCTAGTTTTTGTAACGGAGTTAATTTTAAACAGTTTATCGCTAATGTTGCTACCACCATTAAACATTTTGTACATGGAAATCATATCCCCCCTTAATCTCCTCACCTC